GTTAAACTTTCGAAACCTGCCCCCCCCCCACCCTCCTCTCACAGTGCCACAGCGATGTATTGAAAACACAAAGTTCTCCTGGGGTCAGTCCAAATAAAATGGATGTCCCAGCAGAGAGCAGACACAGCTTCTGTCTGTCCCCAGTATGTAAACACAGCATCTCTCTCCCCTCCCCCCGCCGCGGGCTTCAGGAGTAGCTCGGCTAGGGGGGACAGGCAGGCTTTTCATGTTGCTTCTGTCTAAGCAAATGTTTGGAAGGTGCCATCTCTGATTTACTCTGCTGGGAACATGGAGCATGCCCCCTGCAGAGTACAATAACTGCGAGGGGGAGGCGGGGGATAATGTGCGTTTTGTCCTACTCGGTTGTTGATGTCGTAAAGGCGTTAGTTGGTTTTAAACTACAGTGTGAGTCGATATCGGCAACTGAGCAAAAGGGAGGGCAATACATTGGTTGTATGGGTGGATTTGGTACTTTAAGACAGAGGTTGACATGTTGCAGGTCGGTGTAAGAGGCAGAAAATTACACTGCTAACACTCCTCTTTCACTATAGCAGTGGATCTCCTTAATCAAGAAACAGGCTTGCCTCACCTTCACAAACCCCCTTTGGAAGAGATCTGGTGAGGCAATATTAAATCAGAAGATTGATTAAATCACAATTGTTACTTGTCCTTGTAGGTTTAGCTACCAAGCACTGCTTTGACAGGATGATAGGTGTTTCACAGAGAGATTACACTGATAAAGAAGCCAGACTTGCTTCTTCTTGAAGCAAGGACATGAAAAGATGATCTTCAGACTCAAAACTGGTGAAATCTGGCCTCATTCCACTCACTGCAATGGAGGTTCATCAATGTACACCCCAGCAGGGTTTCACCAGGTGCAGAGTAATTTGTGTTGATACTGTCCAGTGTCATGACCTCATGCATGTATATAACATCTTAAAAAGCACTTTCATAATCCTCATACTAACTCCCCAGTGTAAATTAATGCAAGGACAAGACAGAAATCACTCTTGTGAACCCTCCCCCCATTTCCCCCAGGCGTTGTATAGTTTGTAAATGCTGACTGAAATGCCACTTCAAGCAGTTGGGCTCAGAGACATCTTTTCAGGAGGTGAAAGCCCTCTCTCATTACTCTATTATGTGTCATATGGTGATTAACACTTAAACTCAAAGGATTCAGAACAAGCCTCTTAATCCCAGAAAGACTTTGTCAAATGCTCATTTTCCCTTACCTACTGTGTGGAAACAGATAAGAACGTGTTAACTGTTTGCAGTAACCCATCCCTGACTCACTAGGCAAACTCAAGAAAAGTATGGGTGGGTGTGTTTTTGAGGCTGTGAGGGGCTGGGGAAGGTGATTTTTTTCCTTAACCAAATATAGACCTACCGCCTCTGCTCCCAGTGCAAGTTTTGCTTCAGTGGAGTAGGCTCAGACCCCCTGTTTCTCTTCATATTCTCTTTGATACAATTTTGTGATGCTGGAAAATAGCACTAACCTTTCTGACAGTTGTAATTGACAGGAAAGAGAACCAATAGTGTAAGCTTTTATGTTGATTTTTCCAAGCAACACTTCCCTTCCCCCCCATAAGGAAAAATGTACATAAGATGTATAAAATGCACGTGTTAAACATAGCATAGAGACTGGAGAAAACACTTGAGGTTTATTGAAGGGTTTTGTGTTTGTTTTGCTTTGGGTTTTTTGCCTCTAAATGATGTATCACAACACTCTGTGCTGGCAACAAAAGAAAAAGATATGGCTCTAAACAGTATCCAGGGGGCACTGTGGTCTAGTGCATCAAACATAAGACCAGAAATCCCAGATCTGTGTTCCAATTCTGTTTCCAGTATAGATTTGCTGTGTATCCTCAGGGAATTAAACTTTCTGTGCTTCAGGTATCCCATCTGAATAACTGTACTTATTCACATTAGTAAGCTTCAAGGACACCTACAGAGGGATGCTGCATATCAAACAACTAATAACTTAACAAAGGACTAAGCACATTTCATGAATTATAGAAACAGCTGGGAAGAAAGCAATAGGCATTGCAGGTTACTTTTGGCTGTTGGGATATATCATTTGTTCTAGTTCAATTTTCCCCTCACCCTTCAAAGGTACAGATGTCTTGTTATATGTATTTATAGGATAAAAAAATAACAATTTCCTTGGAGTATCATGCGTGCACCAAAGAAAGTAATTTAAGGCATCTTGTTGTAACAGAAATCTAGAAATCTGTTGCTGTGCTTTGGCTAGAGAAACTGCGTTTTCACTTAAAGAAAAATATAACATTTTCAACAGTTTCTCTCAAAATACCTTGCATTCTGGAATATCCAGCATTTGAAAATAGTTATGTATAAGGTTGAATATTTAATTGATTCATGCAGGAAAAGTCGACTGGCTTCCAACAAATAAATTAATAACAGAAGCATGTGATTTTAATATTCTAGACACCAGAGTCTTTAAAACAATTGTTTCTGCTTAGAGCACATTTTTCTGAAGACTGTCAGTTTGATTTAATTTTTACGTAGTTTATTGATCATCTGGTCTCTATTACTAGGCACTAATATATTAAGAAGAGAGACATGGTTTTCTCTTTATATTCCCACAGGAATACAGAGTAGTGCAGAAAGCTTAATCTTCTTATATCTGGAAAAAATAAAATATACGATATGCTCTGTATAAAACCAATGTTAAGTAAAAAGATATAAACTAGCCTGACTAACCTCATTCTTCTAAAAAGAAGGTTAAATTCCTCGAGAAATTATTCCTACGGATCAGATCCTCCAAACACTCCCATGAGTTCTGTTAATTCTAACTGCACACCTTGCACAAGCAAATACTACTTGAATGAATAAAGTTTTGGAGACTGGAGTCCTAAACTCTACAGGAATTATCTGTCACGTGTTACCAAAGCACCAATTTACTGCTTATGTTAGAGGTGGATAGTGTATGCAGTGTAACTGCCCATTTATGTTGCTTTGATGCCGATTATTTCAAGTGAGGGCAGAAGGTGAATGGTGCATATTCTAGTATATGTAAGTAATATGTGAAAGTGAGAACATAATTTGAGCAGCTGATTGAAGGAGTCTTGAGTCTGGCTTAATCATGTGCAGATGCATACAGCTAGTAAAACTGTAATAAGACAATTATATAACCTGTTACCATGATGTACGTGTGTGGAAGGTCTTTACAAATGTACTCAAATTAATAATAATTTCAGGATTGTTGAGGGATTGATTATTCTGTGTCACAACTACCATATGTGAGTACAGTAACAAAGATCAGAAGCTATTAACATCAAGGGAAGGAACTTTTCTGTTGACCAGCTGACAGAAGAAGAGTCATTACTTTCTTAATACAATCTCATCCAGGGAAGAGAAAACAGTAACATTTTGTAGTGTTCATGAGCTCTTGATTCCCATCTAATCTTTATTTTATACCTTTAAGCTTTTAAGAAAAAAAAGGCCTGTTTTAGTTAAGCGTAGTTTGTGTTCATTTGTTTTTGATGCAAAGAAGGTACTTCAGCCAAAGGAAATGTGATCTATTGGCAAAGAGGGGACAAATTTAAGAAGATGAATGCTCAGTTGATTAGTAAAATGAAGAGTAGTGACTCCTCTTTATCACTAACATGATCTATTTTATGGTGGTGGGATGCAGTAGTAAAGATACCTTGCTGAATTCTCAGCTGGTGCAAGTCATCAACGTCCTCTTGAATTGAGTGGACCTGTGCTGATTTATATCAGCTGAGAACCTAGCCCATAATATACAGAATAACAAGGAGACAAGTCTTTAGGCTCTTCTGATTTGGAGGTGGCTCATACAACTATTAAAACTTTCCTTTTCATTTGCAATATTCTATGATGCCACATTTATTTCTACCAGAAATATTCTTTTAATCTAATGTGAATGTGTTATTTGAGTGGGCAAATATAAAATATTCTTGAAATTTCTATTAAAAACATGTTTTCTCCACTATTAACTTTTCAGTAGTTACTTCT